CCACGAAACAGAATGACAACAGTGTGGAAAAGTAAACAAGACATTTATGTTCTCCTAGAGGATGAACATTATCCAAAGCACTTAGTTAATAATGTAGCTGCATAATTGTACAAATATGGATTGTAAATATAGTATTTATTTTCAGTGACACAAAAAATATACTGTGAATGGTACTGTCGAATGGTGCTCATTTTATTCTGGCAGAGCATCGTAGTAGCCTGGCCAGAACCGTTATGTTCAATACAACCCGAGTCCAGGTTGTGATAGGAAGTGTCATGTAGTGTGTTCGCCAGGAGAGGGCAGCAATATCCAGGAAACCATTAACATTGTTTCATACAAATTAAAATGCTGTAATTGTATGATATTTTAACTTGCAGGAAGTGCCTTCTAAAGCAGAGACGTGAATCCTGCAATTTACTGATTATTAAAAAACCAAATACATACCATAGTACTGCATCTTAACGTCTAATGTATGCTAACCTAACACTGCATGAAAAAAAACTGCCAATTAAATTACACTAAGGTTTATGCATTATTAGGCTGGTAATTGCAAGGATGTTTGGATTAAAGTGGAAATTTTCCCATGGGGTTCTTGACAGCTCCTGTCTGTTTGAGCTGAAGACAGGTGTTATTAAAATAGAGTTGCTTCTTGTGTTTTGCCCTCCCGCTGTGCACTTACAGAGAGGGATGATAATAACCATGTTTAAATTGGTTTTCTGTATGTGCTTGCCCTGCATCCAAGGAACGGGGGGCAGCAATACTGAGCTCCACATGAGGCGCTTATATACATCACAGATAACCGCCAGGTAAAAAAAAACTCGTGTTCAGGCTCTGATTGACATTACAGGCTTTGTGGAAGAGGGGTTTTAGCCTGTAGGAGGTGCAGAATGTGCCTGAATTCATTTTGAGTGAGGATGATGGGATGAACTTCTGCAAACTACTGCTCGTACAGGTGAGAGCTGTGGTTTTGGCTCAGCCAAACCATGTGATATACAGTGCAGGATACCGGCGTCGCTGTTTCACCAAATAGATTCTCTCTTTAGGAGAGCTTTGAGTGGGGCTCATTAAATCTGTTCCAGCATATTACAGTAGCTGTTGGTGAGCCAATTTAATTCGGATACTGGATTTAAGTCGATAGGATCATCCAGGGTCTGGAATTACTCATCGAGATCAATTTTGGAACTACCAGAAGTATGGAAAGGGACATTGGAGGTGAATGCTTAGGTTCAGTAGAATTTTTTAAAGCATTGACTCCACTCCACTCTCCCAGCATTTGTTCTCCTGTTTTATTTAATCTGCCCTGCCTTTCTCACACCCGAAGAAGGCTCCACAGCCAAAGCGTTGTGTTTTCTTTCTTCTCTTTTCAGCATGGAATAAACCCCATTAAGTGTTTATGATCTGCATGTACCAGTAATTTTTATTTCTCCAGCACAGGTCTGCCCAGAGTTCCTCTAAAACGGAGAGTGGGAGAACTCGCTCTGCTCTGCGTTCTCTCAATGAATATGAAGCCAGAAATGATATCCAATTCCATCTGGATTATGGCATGCTCTTCCCTTTCGATTCCAATTGTTACTGTGGCTTCTTGTTAACAAATGCTGTTGCTTTGCTGGCACTTTTAATTGTCTAGCTGAGCCTGTCAGGAGCTGATGAGATCCTGAAACCCCAGCTGTCGCACTGATTCAGTGAGGGCTGGATTCAGACCAACTGCTCAAACATAAAGGCTTAGATCAGCAACCATCCTGAATGGATTCAGGATACTGTAGCCAGTGAGAGAGCATAGTACCAAACAGTGGGCTGTTATGCTCATATTTAAATGCGTCAGCAGGTTATTTTATCTGCAGATTTGTCAGTTTAATACATTATTAACCAAATGCTCATTTATTGTTAATTCGCTAGTATTTATCATTAGCATTGATTAATGATGCTCATTAGTAACCAAAGAGAATGTTAGATTCCAGTTTTAGACGTTTTGTCTTTGTATTTACAGTACAGTATATTTGCAGTGTGGGAATAGTACCTGCTGCCCTTCTGTAGTGCTCAGTAGGTGAAATGGTGAGTGAAATATTGTGAGCTGATACGCAATATGCTTGGGGAAATCGGTAACTAATGTACTCGTGTTAACGAGCAATTGTTTCATTATTTCATTCTGTCAATTAATGCAGACCCAAGATTCAAGCATCTTTAACAGAGGACATCTTTTAAATAGAACAAGGTTTTTTAATTTTTTTAAAGTTAAATCCAGATCAACACTTTGACCATAAACAGATTAAAGTCCAGTACTTATGCTACTGTTTTAATTTTCAAATGGCTTCTTCCCCTTATGCATTCAGTATTGTCAGATGCGTAACAAATAGAAAAAGCCCAATTGTTCTGAACAATTGGAATGTGTAATTGAGTTAAAAACAAATACTGCAAAAGTCTTTAAAACCATGAGGTTTTATGGTAATGATGACAGCCAAGCTAAATGCGGTCTGTACAAAACCACACTATCCACAGATACAAAAAGTTCCATCCATTTTCTAACCACTGCATCCAATTCAGAGTGGCAGGCGAGTCTGGGTTTATCCTAGCAAGCAATGATCATAAGGCAGGGTACACCCTGGATGGGACATCAGTCCATCACTGGGCACATACCGTATATACACACACACCAGGGCCAATTTTGCCAGAACAATTAGTCTACCAGAGTGTCTATGGACTGTGACTGTGGGAGGAAAATGGAGCACCTGGAGGAGACCACTGAGAACATGGAGCAAATAAGAATGATAAAAACTACTCTGGTTGCTGCAGTTGGCTTATAGATTTGTTCATTTTAGGAGGCACTGTATTGTTTTATTTCATTGTGAAAAAACGTTAAGTAATATAGGATACAAACTCGGTGCTGTGTGCACTGATTCGAAGGGAGAAGGTTTACCCAGTGGTGTTTGTTAGCGAGTGGAAAAAGAGGGGGTGAGTCATCGGACCTTGGATACTTTGGACCCGCAGTGCTCCTGGTTTATTTTCATCAAGTACTTTTTAAACCGAGAAATTTTTATTTTGACCTTCTGAGATTGTAGGCCCTCTTGTACTTACTGAATGTTTTGCCCCCGCAAGTCTTGTGTATCTGTTTAAATCGACATGGAAATCAAGTTCTATCTCTCTGGTTCTTCAGTTCAAGCAGCCAACAGCTGCTTCAGTTGTCCAAGTGGAACATACACCATAACGCCCTATGGCACTCAAGCCCCAAGGCTCTGCATCATTGTTATAGAGGAAGGTTGTGGGCCTGATTGTCCCTGACTGCAAATTGACCATCTAAGCCGTTTCCCATGGACAGGGCAGTTTGCCTATAATAAGGACATTCTGTATCTTCTCAACCTCACAACAGCAGGGCTAAAATAAATAATACATGGAAAAAGCCTACTTTTAGGTGTACTATAACTACATCTGAACATAGTACTGCTTTTTATTACAGTTCAAGTCTTCACACTTTTCTCTTCTTTTATATTTTACAAACCTCAACAGGTTTGTAATATATCAAAAAAACCTCAAACCATTGTTCTGTAGTACTGTATGACCACTTGGCCTTTCACTTACATTTCCTTAATAGGAACTATAACTAACATAATGCCTCAGTCCTACAATGTACGGATCTTAATTGTTCTTCAAAAGCTTAGCACAATAAAAATGGAATTCAGAATTTTAACGTTTTGTTGCTTAGTAACTACACCTTCGTAACGATACAAAATTAAAGTCACTTTGTGGATGTTTATTTTATAGAGCGTCAACTCTTTAGAGGTAAGAATATATCATTATCAAAATTATACCTATATTGCTGTGTATTTTTAGACCATGAGAAAAATTTCAAGCAATACAAGACCATATGGCCCATCAATCTGTTGTTTCACTAGTAATGTCATTTCATGACTCTGCCAGGGTACGGTCCAGTGTCACGCCCTGTACACCTAGAGGGCACTCTACTTCTGTCCTGTTCGTAGTTCCCTGTGATTATTCATGTTTCTTGTTGTGTAGCCCATTTATTTCCTGTGTCTGCTCTGCTCCTGTCTCAGCATTGAGGGTACGGATCTCCTGAGACCCGCCTAGCACCAGGTTGTCTCCTCCACGTCCTGAGGGCATAGGTTTCTTTACCAACATCGTCTGACCCCCCTGAGCCTGGGCTAACCCCTGTGTTGCCCCTTTTACCGCTAAGCATAGGGTCTCTACTGCTCTCCTTGTCATTCCACGGCTTGCCTTTCCTACATCCGTGATATCCAGTCTCCCGCAACTCTTTGTGCAAAGAAATGCTTTCTGTACTCAGTTTTAAAAGATCTTGCTCATAGTTTCTACTTGTGGCCTCTAGTTTGTGTATAGCTGGTTCAACAGAAGTTTATAGAGTTGACTTTATCAATGCCTTTCAGATTTTTAAATACATGAAGGTCCCATGGAAGTATTTTCTGTTGCAAATTAAACAGGTTTAGTTTGTTCTGCCTATCAGCGCAGAAGAGGTTCTCTGAACTGTTTCTAGAGCAGCTGGTGTTTTTTGTGCCTTAGTAGTCAAAATGTCACATGGTACTCTGAAGTCTTGCTTAAGTGGAAAGATTGCACCATATTTTTGTATAGTGTTTTACTTCATAAACTGATTTTGTGGTTTTATTGTCATATAATCCTATTTAACAAAGTATCTGGTCAACGTTTTCATATTTAGTGTAGATTTTTAATGACAAACCTTTGGAAAGACTTTCAAATCTATTTCAACAAAACTGCTTCTGTAGCCTCTAGTATTAGATTAAATGTATTATTAGAGTTTTGACCCACATCAAAGAAAATTCTGTTTTTCATGTGGGTCAAAAAAATACGAAATGGTACTGTGTGTTTGCTGTGTTTCTCAAAATGTTAAGCATAAAGAATAAAAAAGACTTTGGACAAAAATGAATAAAAAAATAAAACACAGATTGTTTATCCTTGTAGAAAATCAAAATGAAACTGCAATTTGTGCACCATAAAAATTAAATCCCATTTTTTTCTTTATTTAAAAAACATTTCCACTTGTTAAGTTTGAAAACAAAAAAAATACACATTTTATGATTTTTAAATGAATTTTGACAACTTTTGCCTCTTTTAGAGGAGACACATTTTCTGGTTTGAAAAGCAAGGGAGGTTATTTTTTAATTACTGAAAGTAATGTACTGTAGTAAAAACAATCTTCCAAATATTCTTCGAAAATCATCCTCTTAAGAGAACACAAACAATACTAAACAAAAAAAATGAACTAGGAATAAAAAGTATATTTCAAATTAATTTAGTACATTCTAATTTAATACTACATAGCTTTGTGTAGTAGACTCAGATTCAGTTTTGTTTGTAATTTAAGATAATCACTAAACTAATTCACATTGAGTTCTATATAAAGTCCAGACAGCACATTTTTATTTAATGCTTTATTTAACTCGCTGAAGTCAGCTGAGAATAAATTCTTATTTGTATTGTTGACCTGCAAATGCATTTATGCAGTGAACCATTTAATAGATCAGTTTTGTGAGGTTTTCTCGAGAGTAAAACAGCATCTCATCTGAGATTTAAACTCACCAGTGATTGTGACCAGAAATTCCTAAAAAAAGACCCGGCAGAGAATCACTGTTGAAGAGTGGAATTTAGCCAGTTTTGCAGCAGTTTTTTAATTGAAAGCTAAATCTTCTGATACTTTAACTCTCTCATGGACACTAGTTTCACAGTGTGAATCAAAATCAAATTGACTGACAACTGATTGTCTCAGAGGGTCTGTACTGTACCATCTTCTTCTCCATAGCTTGCAGTGATGAACCAACTCAGTTAGAATCTGGTTACTCCCAAATGGGAGAGAGGAAAAAAACTGCTGACTTTAAGTTTCATTAAAATGAAACTGCAACAGCTAATCAGATAAAATGTTTAGAAGCTACAAAACAATACATCACTGTGATGTCATTCATTTCTCTGACAAGGAATGCTCAGAGATTTCAATTCTGATGATCAGATAAACAGTAAAATCCCTGTTTAATCCTTTAATTCCTTCTCACACTCAGGTCTTGTAATGGGAAAGAAATCTGCCAACTCAGTCGTCCAGTACAGCATCGTCAATCCACCTCATGAAGAAAGGATTGCCTTGATCAACTGGAAAGCTCAGGATTTCAGGAACTTCAAAAGGATGGATTGATCTGGAAAAAAGTAATATTGTCTCACACCTTAGAGCTTTAGGAGATCCAGACATCATTGCATAAATTGAATGTATTCGGGAACTTGGTAGGTTTTCAGAATCTCACTTACAGACACTATATTTTAGACTCAGTGAGAACATGTGACAGGAAAGTATGGAAATTTAAGGTACAAAGAAAACGGATCCTGTGGGCTGTCTGCTGCTCTAAGGGTGCCACAGTACATGGGAAAACAAAACTTACACACCCAGGATACACCTACAGTATAATGCACACAAGTCAAGGGTTAATGGGAAAAGCCAACAGGAATGGGTGTTATTCTGGGGTTTGACTTGGTATGGTAAATCATCTTCTGCAAACAGAAATCCTGTAAGACAATTCTTCCTCCAGTTTACATGGTGTTTTTAGGTGCTTTTGAGCATAAGAAAGTGACTGATGGCCTTCACAAAAGCTAAACACTGAGCTTCTCCTTTAGTAATAATAGGAATGTGCATGGTATGTTCAATGCTGCATCAGGACGTCCGTATCGCAGATTTTAAATGTATGTTTATCAACCCAAACAATTGTATTCAGTAGTTTATTAAGTGTAGATTACTGGTACTGTATTTATTCCATTGTACTTATTGATTGTGATATCTCATTTAAGCTTACTGAACATCCAATTAGCTCATTCGTTAAAAACACCGTAATTTACTCATTACAGCAGCGAAATGTTGAAATATACATCCGTGACTGTAATCCAATTTTTATATATTTCACAGCTTGAAAGAACTGAACAGTGTACTGCCAAGTCCATTGGATTCATAAAGCCCATTTGAGATTTGAAAACAACAAGACTATATAGTGTCACATTTATTTCCTAGCATCTAAGGGAATTTTTATATAATGCTTGTTAGGTCATACATGCTAATATTAAAATATCATTGGCTTGCTTTTTTGTTCAAAATAGTAATGTCATTTTTCACTACTGTAACTGATTTCAAGTGTAACTGGACAGAGTGGGACAACATCTATTCTATTTTTTGTACATTTAATACATTACCAACTATTCCACTGGTATAACTCACCTTACATATTCAGTGAGCTTTGGAATTTTGGACGTCCTTGTCCTTGCAAGCTAGAGAAAACAAAAAAGAAAAATTTACTTTCAAAATTTAGCTGTGATAAAACCTTTGCTTTAATAAAACACGACAATAAATAATACATATCCATCATATTAGTGTACAGATCTTTATACAATAATTTTTGCTGTAATGTGATTTGTTTCACTGTTTTCTGTTTAATTATCATAAAAAACACACACATTGTGAATAAGTAATACATTCAAACTAATTTTTATAGAGAAAATACCATCATTATTGTGAATCAGAACTCTCTACCTCCTTAGAACTTAGCTCCCATTGAATCAATGGTTTCTATAACGTGATTTTCTAAAATGCTGGATTTTACAGGAGTACAACTTGTTATAACAGAAATGGCTGCGTTCTCTCTGCATTTCTACAAATCAAGCATACTCCATCCATAATACGCCTTCATATTTCACAGTCTAATTTTCTTGCTTTTAAAATTAGTTAGAAAAAAGAATGTATCTTAGGGTTCTAATGATTATTTTAAAGCATACCACCAAAATTTCAGTTGTGTCTTCAATTTCACCTTTCCAGTAGTACCTACAAAGGAAAAATTAAGTTGTTCGTGAGATCACCTCAGATCAAGAGAGTCAGCTTCCATCTTCTCTGCTTTGTTGGGAATTCCTGACGGCCCAGGTTTTCATCACCCGGCAGGACCCTAACACTAGGGTAAACATGTTCACACACGCCTCGCAAGTTCAAAGGGCTAAAGATTTGATTGATTGCAGAGTTACCGTTTTGTCAGTTCTCAGAAAGTGAGCATGGCTGGGCTTGGTGAGAACTCAGATGGGAGACCTCCCTTAGATGGGAGGCGCCAGTATGTTGCACTCTTCTCTCTGCACCAGCATTTCCAAAAGGTATGGGGACACTGGCCACTCTGCTGTAGCAAGTAATGTCCTTTGTCTTAGATGTTACATCAAGGTTCTGACTTTTTGATCATTAAAGAACCCATTACACGGTTCATAAGAGTAGGGGCGTCCAGGATGAATTCCTCTATAGGCCTGCAAAGTCTAGTCTCACTAAATTGAAGTAATTTATCATTTTCCCAACTATTCTGCCCTGTAAAACCTGTTTCCCATTATCCCATATTATACTTTAATTGGGTGAGTCTTTAAACGACAGGAAATAATTCTTATTGTGGCAGTCATATGATCTCCTTGAATTCAAGAGGCTCCTGCACTAGTCTCACTGTAGTATTAAGGCTCTATAGCCGATTGCTAAACCTTATCACAGAACCAATGCTTCACTTACATGGAAGAGCTTTTTGGCAGAATGTTCACACAGGCAACAAGTCTCTTCTCCATGATCGCTCTAGGAGAGAAGAAGTCAAGTGAGCACTTGTCATCTGCACATGATTTCTTTGACATCGAAAAAAGGAATCATCCATCATACAGAATTATTATTTTTTCCATAGTTTTTACTGAAGACACAGGTATGAGTATCAAACACATTTATCTGCTAGTATTTGTGAACATTCAACGTATCAGCTAAGTCCTAAATTATACTGTATGTTACATAAGCAAAACTCTTATAGGTAAGGACTTTTAGAAAACATTTATCCCACTTGTGTTGCTCAATACTGTATTACACTGCTGTTTGGGGAAAAAAACAATACGTCACTGGTATTTGTAACAACATGTTACAAAAAGAAAGTGTTATGGCAATGTTTTTGATGCATTTATTTTTCATAAGGACATAAAAGTTGAAATGAGAAGAGAACTATTGCTAGGAGCTTACCGATCTTGCTTCTTACAGGATCCAGTGTTATCTGTTTAAATGGTAAGGCTGAGCTGTTTGTTCCAAGAACTCAGCCCTCTGTTAATGCATTTCTGTTTTGATGTTTGGGTATCAGGTGTTAAAACTGGTATCAAGTGTCGTCTGTTCAACCCCAGAGGTATTGTTAGCCTTTAGCCCTTTAGACTACTAATTGACATTTTATCTAACTTTGGACTGATTCCCACGCATCAGCGTCCTTTGTGCAAACAGAGTCAACACAATTGACCTAATATGGTATATAATTTTAATATAATTGACTTCATTCATTAAATTATTCACTTTTTATTTCTTATCCGAAGCTCACAAAGTACTTTATTTACCTCATTAAACCGGTGACTCATCCCCAACTGACGCCATGCATTAGTAGGAGCATAGGATCAAGCAAATGTTGATTTGCATTTGTTTATTACTGAATACAATCACTTCGGTCTGCTTGGATCAGTGCTACAGATTTGAATATACAATATTATGCGCAACACAAACAAATAAGACCAAACAAACCACAACACAGGCTTTATTATTTGTAGTCAATGCAGTGAGCAGGAAAAAAGCTCCAGTTCATAGTACTCTTTTGTGCAGTAGTCATGCAAAATAGAGATTCTGTGCACGCATATATCCATGCCTAAGTTTATGTGAACATAGATAAAAAAGAAAAGAGAGGGAACCATTCAACCTATCAAGCTCATTTTACTGTAGCTCTACTAACAACTTATTGACCCAAGCATGTCATCCACCCATTTCCGGAAATTTCTTCAGATCTCATTCACAGCCATGTCTGAAAAATAATCTTTCCTTATACAGTGTCTATCGTACTGTACCTGTGTATACGCACTAAACAGTATGCTATACTGGTTGTGGAAAATGTAAAAACAACAGCTTTTTCTCTTGATGAAATGTATTTTTAAAAATTTACTTACACTATAATGTCCTTTTAAAGCAGTGGCTCTTAACCTTTACCGAAGTCTTGAAATCATTGAAGTAGGTCAGTTCTTTAAACTTCAGATACGGTCATGCTTGAAAGTTTGTGAGCCCATCGCATAATTTGAATTGTTTTTTTTTTTTTAATCACAAACCATATATGTAATCAGAATTTGTCACTTCCTAATAAAATAAAGTATAATTATTCACCAATTGGAACTAAAACCTCGAACTAAAAAAACATCAGCAGAACTGAGGAAAAAAGAAGTGGATGCTCATCAATCTGGACAAGGTAATAAAGCCATTGCAACAAGATTCGGACTTCGTAAATCCACCATTAGGCAAATAGTATACAAGTGGAGGGCATTTAAAACAATGGCAGCCCTGTCAGGAAGTGGACGCCCTCCTAACATTTCACCCAGGGCCACAAGGAGAATAATAAAAGAGGTATAAGGTAATTCTAAAATAACATCCAGAGATCTACAAGCCTCCCTGGGCACCTCTGGAGTAGTGGTGCATAGATCAACAATAAAAAGAGCCCTGGACACAAGTGCCATCTATGGAAGGGTCACCAGGAAGAAGCCTCTTCTGTCAAAAAAGAACAAAGCTTGAAGCTTGCCAGAGACCACCTGGACAAGCCTGAAGAGTCCTGGAAATCTGTTCTCTGGACAGATTAATCCAAAATTGAACTATTTGGGCACAACAAGAGGGCCCATGTTTGGCGAAGAGCCAACACGGCCTACTACCAGCAAAATCTTATCCCTGCTGTCAAGCATGATGGTGGGAGTGTCCTTGTATGGGGCTGTTTTTTTTGTACTCTGGCCCCGGGCATCTTGACATCATTGAGGGAATCATGATTTCTGAGAAATATCAAAGAATTCCTGAGAAGAATGTCGGGCCATCAGTTTGAAAACCCAAGCTGGGCACAAAATGGATGTTTCAACAAGACACGGATCCTAAACATTCAAGTCCACTAAAGAATGGCTTAGGAAGAAGAGGGTCTGTGTCCTGGAATGGCCAAGCCAAAGGCCTGACCTGAATCCTATTGAAATGCTGTGGCAGGACCTGAAGAGGACTGTTCATGCAAGACATCCTTCAAACCTCACAGAGCTGGCGGGGTTTTGTAAAGAGGAGTGGGAAAAGCAAGATGTCAGAGACTGATGATTGGTTATAGGAGGCGACTGTGTAGTTATAGCTGCTAAAGGAGGTGCCACAAGTTATTGACTGAAATAACTTTTCCTTTTCAAGTATTCATTTACTTTTGCACACAAGAATATCTGGTGATTTGTTAAATATCACAGTCTAATAATCTATTAGTTCAAATCCGTTTTTATGTGTGGGTAGTCTTTATTTTGGATATTCATTTTATATAGTTATTAAGAGTTCAGATTCATATAATATCTCAAAATTTCTAAACTAGTGACCACCTTAAAGGGTTCACAAACTTTAAAGCATGACTGTAAATAATAATAATAATAATAGCTTACACTTTGTTACGACCCCAAGTGTCTAGAGGAAAAGGGGTGTAACATTTAGGATAATTCTTTTGGAAGCAGGGGGGTTTTGGTGAGGGACTAGGAAGGGTGATAAGGGTAAGGAACTAGAGTGGTGCCAAAGGAAAGAAAATAACAAACAAAAATGGAGCTGGCTAGGACAGTGAGGGAAAGCTAATTTGACTACAAAAGAAACCCCGAAACACACGGTCTTATATAGCGCTTTTCTGGACACTCCACTCAAAGCCCTTTACAGCTAATGGGGGACTCCCCTCCACCACCACCAATGTGCAGCATCCACCTGGATGATGTGACGGCAGCCATAGTGCGCCAGAACGCTCACCACACATCAGCTATCAGTGGGGAGGAGAACAGATTGATGTATCCAATTTATAGATGGAGATTATTAGGCCATGATTGGTAAAGGCCAATGGGAAATTTGGCCAGGACGCTGGGGTTACACCCCTACTCTTTTCGAGAAACGCCCTGGGATTTTAAATGACCACAGATCGTCAGGACCTCGGTTTTACATCTCATCTGAAGGACGGCACCTTTATGTAGTCTAGTGTCCCTGTCACTTTACTGGGGCATTAGGACCCACACAGACCGCAGGGTGAGCGCCCCCTGCTGGACCAACTAACACCTCTTCCAGCAGCAACCTTAGTGTTTTCCGAGGAGTCTCCCATCCAGCTACTGACCAGGCTCACATCTGCTGGGCTCCAGTGGGTTGCCTGTTGTAAGTTGCAGGGTGATATGGCTGCTGGCTATATATCATAACTATAGAATGAAAGAGAGTTATGTATGTAATGTAAGTTTGCAGTACAATTAAGAATATACATATAATTACACACTTTTTTTAAACCTAAAACTCTAGATTTGATTAAACAGTGTATTTGTACTTAATTTGTTTCCATCTATAGTGCTGTCCTGCTTTGGGTGCTTTATTTGCCAGGCTCCCATGCAATCTTGAATTAGACGAAGCAGTTAGAAAATGGACGGATAATTCAGGAAAGCCTGAGCACTCAGCTATTTCTAAACGTAAAAGTCGCACACAAGAGTGTTACCTCATAGTACCGACCTATTCTGAAAATAACACAGTAATACTGCGTACATGTGTTTGGCCACCTGGAGGGCAAAGCTGCAAAACGCAAGTTGAGCAAGAGAGCGTTAGGTGGAGGTAACTTTTAAAATCTTTTTCTGGGCTCTCCATTGAATATGTGTGTTTATCAGTTAATTAAATGGTGTACTGGCTGCTCAAGAACAATGTGAGTTTCCCGTCTTTAACTATTACTTCTCTTAGCTTCATTTAGTTTCTGCTCTATTCAGGAACTATTTAGTTGACAACATGTATCCACCATTAATAACTCATGATCTTATCCTGCTCAATGAAATGTACAGACTGTGCAACTCACATAGAGCAATGCCCACACAAACAATGACAGCTCCCTAAAACCTTTAAATTCAGCAGATTTAATTTTAAATCTGCTCTTGGAGGAGGCATATTACCACCTGGTACTGTTAAGCCTCTCATTCAGCCATGTCAGTGAGTTCTACTGGGCTATCAATAAAGGGCTTATCATTTTATTTTGTGTTGAACTTTGACAACCCTCTCTGTGGCTCTGCAAGCTTAAGTTTTCAGATCAGCCGGCCCTCAGTCACAACCCATTCTCATACGACAAGGTGCATGTTAATCACAGGCTAAGATGAGCGTTATCTCACAAGAAACCTGCTGTTTGGGGAAAAAAAAATGGGCAGCTAGGATCCACTGTATGCAGGCATCACAATTTAAAATCACTAAACAAAGAAAAGCAATGCCCAGGAACAAATAGAGTTTTGGGAATGTTTATTTTGAGTTTAAGCATGGGAAGATCTGGTCTATCCAGCGTATCGGATTCATAGGTGTGGAAATTAAGGGATGATTACGAGTACAATCACTATAGCTGAGATGAAAGAGAACTTTGCTGCTATCATCCCCTCCAAACTTTCCTACAAAACTCCATTTCTTTTTCAAAACTGTCAATTGACAGCAGAGGTGGGTGAGAAAAAACCTGCTATCATTCGCTGTTCCAGTGCTACCGAGCCCATTCCAGTTAGAAAGCTCTGTGAATCCGATGAGGCTGTACACTGATTTGGCAGTCACTACCCCTGCCTCATCCCTACAGCGTCCTAGATTTGATTTGTGCCAGTGGTACCATTCTCTGTAACAAGTCCATTTTCGCTTGGTGCTCATATTCTTTCTTGTCTCGGAGACCAGCTGTTTAAGATTGAATGGCAATTCCAAATTTTCCTGACTGAATATGGTCGGATATGCACATGTGAAAATAAAGTGAATGCAATCACATTAAAAAAAAGTCCAGTCCTATCCTGAAGGTCCTGTTTATACTCAATCAGCCCAAGCATTATCTTCCTGTCATTCACCACATATCACACACAGTAGTTCAGCAGCACTTCAAATCTGTAATCTGAACTGAGCTTTTGCTGACATTTTATCAGAGTACAACTCAACCAACTAGCCTGTTTCTAGTTGCAAAAAGATTCAACTTCAAAATAAAGTAGAATTTGAAATAAAAATAGAAAAGAGACTATTTCCTTACTTATGAATGTTGGATAACCCTGACAAAGAATATTTAAATACATTCAATGCATTATTATGAGTAACTTTCTGATTGCAGAGCCTTTTCTAATCTCATTTTCTGATGCCTTAAACAGGACTAAGTACTTAAACTGCCCAATTAAGTTTATGGAGAGCGCTGGCTCTGTGGCTAAGGTTCAAATCCCGCGGCCAGCAAAGGAATCCTACTCCGTTGGGCCCCTGAGCAAGGCCCTTAACCCCAACTGCTCCAGGGGCGCCGTATAAATGGCTGACCCTGCGCTCTGACCCCAAGCTCCTCTCCCAGTCTGTGTCTCTCATGGAGAGCAAGTTGGGGTATGC